ACAACAGGGCAGGAGCCAGGAGCAGTTCCAGGGCTGGCCAAGGATAGGGGAATGGCAAGATAATGACTAGTAGGGCCCCATGATGGCTCCTGTAGATAATGACTAGTAGGACATCCCCTGATGGCTCCTGGATTGGAGAGGGTGCAGGTTGGGCTGAGAGACCCCCATTCCCGTGCATGAGTTTCATACACCAGGCCTCTAGTTAACACATAATGTAGAAACATTTCCCATACATTCTAAATATTATAAATGTTTGAATATAATTATATAATTATAAATATTATATTCTTAAAGAATGGCATCTACTGATTCTGTCTGATATATAACTGATTATGTTAGTCTTTCAACAATTGGAAATTAGATGCTGCTTTGAAATAAAATGACTCACTCACCACATGGCTAAGATGAAGAAGAAAGGCAATACCAAATGTTAGCACAGATGTTGAGCTAGAATTCTAACACAGAGCCAGTGTGAGTGTGAATTGGTATAACCTCTTTGGAAAACTGGCAGTATCCCTAAAGATGAACATTTGCACTTCTACTCCTAGTATGCACCCATATTTTTACCAAAAGACATGGACAAGAATGTTTATAGCAGCACTATTTATAATAGGCCAACACTGGAAACTCCTCAATGTCTAGCCACCACAGATTAGATAAATAAATTCTAGTATATTCAAATAATGAAATACTGCCATTAAAATAAACAAGTACAACTACACTACACAACATGAATGAATCTCACAAACATAAAGCTGAGCAAAGGAAACCATACACAAAAGCTTCCATTTATTTACAATTCCTAAGCAAGCAAAATTAAGCAATAGGGTCAGAAGTCAAAACATAGCTAAGCTTATGGGGGACAGTTGACAGGGACATAAAGGAAACTTCTGGGGGCTGATAATCTATTTCCTGAATTAGGTTCTGGTTACATGAAATATGAACTCTTAACAAGCTTATCATTTGTCACTTCTGCTACATTCAAGCTGGTGCCTAAGGCCAGGCCACATTCAAAAGCATGAATATTATACTCTACCTCCTGATAAAACCACATTGCAGAAGAGTAGCTAAGATGAGTAAAAGTGTTATGAAAAATACAATCTATTCCAATTATAAATGTCATTTTAAATTTTAAGTGATATTTCAAATAAATTTCACAATCTACTTTAATTATCTGGGATAAATTAGAACTCAGCATCCTCCTGGAGAAAAGCAGAAATCTTAGGAAGGGAAAGAAGAAAATAAGAGCAACCAAAGCTCACAAGACCAGGAGGCATGGGTTATATGCAGTCCCTGCATTAATAACTGTGACCAGAAGAATAAGGCACATGTATTGGTCAGTCCCATTTACATGCCCAACAAGACCATATGAAATGGGAAAGGGGCAATTCACCAGAGAGATAAACAATGAGAAAATAACACATGTCTACTGTGAATGTCTTATATTGTAGCTGATGGTCATTACAACAAAAATTTTTAAACTCATTGTGGCAAAAGGGAGGAAGTATGTTCTCTCCAAATTGCATCTAACTCTAAGTTTCCAATGTTCTCTTCCTAACACATATGTCAAATCCATTCACATTAATATTAAAATATTCTTAAATATAGATCTGTTGTAAAACATACATCCAAGTGCAACTACTGATGGCAGTCATGTTTCATTTCCCTTTGAGTATTTCCCAAAACACTCCTGTCTATGAACATGTGTTAACACTTTTTCATCTGGTAGTTTGGATAAATCGTCCACATTGTTTTGATCACATACAATTCTGTTAACAGCTATGAATCACACACCAAAAAAATTAACTACAGACTAAGGTGTGACAAGCTGAACTTATGCTCCTACTCCCCCTCTCAGGGAAAAATCTTGGGGATTAGAGAGGAACCAGGTTACTATGGTGCCATTAACTATCTAGATGGCTCAGCCAGAGGCCTTGTTAGTTTATGTAGGACCCTCAATGACGAAGGGACCAAGACATGCAGAGAAGAAGGTTTAAGCATAATAAAGCCAGAACTCTTTGCAAGAAGTAGACTTAAATCCATATTATTAGAAGAAATATACATTTCTCTCATAGACTACATTGCAGAGGTGGGCAAACTTTTTCTGTAAAGGACCAGACAGTAAATATTTTAGATTTTGCAAGTCATACAATCCGTTGCATCTACTCATCTCTACCATTATAGCATAGAAGCAGCCATCGACAATACTTAAACTAATGAGCATGGTTGTATTCCAATAAAACTTTACAGAAACAGGCCTATGTGTTCTGATTCATGGGCCAAAGTTTGTCAACCCCTGAACCAAAACAAAACAACAAACAAACAAAGGCTACATCATAGAGGTGAGATGTGTTTGTCTTCAGGTAGAGAAAGAGAAAGCCTGGACACAGTTCTGTTAGAGAAAACAAACAGAAGTTGAAATATTCCAGCCCTCTACCCACTTCTCATAGGACCAGAGCTCACTCTTTCCCTCCTCTCTGCAGAATCAGCAGGAGATAGAACAGATTCAGGCTGTTCACATCCATCTGAGGCCAGAGGTGGCAGAATTTGCACACTAGAAAGGGCTAGAACTTCATTCCAAGGGGGGAAGTCTGTTTTGAGGAAATGATGGCAACTGTATTATCTGGTGCTGAAGATGAAAGTCGGTTCTGAGGAAATGATATGGCAACTGTATTAACTGGTGCTGAAGATGAAAGGATCTATAGAGCCAACTCTGGGAGAAGTGGAGAGAAGGCAGGAGTTAAGAAGTGAGGGAATAACAATATCCTGAAGCCCACCAAGGGGGCATTTGTTCCCCTGTTTCATACAGAGATGTGAATTGCCTTGCCTAAAGCCCAGGGCCTAATCTTTCTTTGAACTCTCTCTGTAATCCTTCAGAAAAGCAGCACTCAAACCCAACACAAGGCCCTGGTTTATGTCCTATCACTCTCCTCCTCATTTAATCAGGTCCTCCCATACTGGCCTCCTTGCTGTTCCTTGAACACACCTAGTATATTCCCACCGCAGGGCCTTTGTACCTTCTCACTCTTAAGACAGATTGAAACCTCCTCCCCTAAATATTCAAATGGTTCCCTCTCTTCATTTGGGTGTTTCTCAAATGGCATCTCTTCAAAGATGCCTTCTTTGACTTTTCTGCCTAGAATAGTCATCAGGCTCCAGGTGTTTAAATTTTTCTTCACAGCTCATATCACTACCTGTCTCCCCCAATAGCAAGTGGGCTGCATAAAGGATTTTGTTTAGTTCCCTCCAGTATTCTAAGCACTATGAATAATACCTAGAACACAGATAGTGCTCAATAATATTTACTGAATGAATGGATGGATCAAATCCAATATGTCTGTTAGGGCTAATTTTATATGTCAATTTGGTTGTGCCATGGTGCCCAGATATTTTGTCAAACATTATTCTGGATGTTCCTGTAAGGGTGTTTTTGTTTTATGTTGATTTTTATTATTATTATTATTATTATTATTATTATTAATTATTTTGAGAGATAAAGGAAGGGAGAGAAATAGTAACTTTTTGTTCCGCTTATTTATGCATTCATCATTTGATTCCTGTATATGCCCTGTCTGAGGATTGAACCCACAACCTTGGTGTATTGGGATGACACTCTAACTAACTGAGCTACCCGGCCAGGGCTCCGAGAGGGTGTTTTTGGATGGGATTAATATTTAAATTGATGGACTTTGAATAAAGCTGACTTCCCTCTATAATGAGGGTGAGCTTGGTTTAATCACCTGAAACCCTAATAGAACAAAAAGGCAAGGGTCATTTTGCAACAGCCTTTGAATTTCACATGCCACATCAACTAGTCTTGGTTCTACAACAGACTGACGACCTTTGAACTCCAACCAAAACTCCTTTATGAGTCTCCAGTCCCCCAACCTCCGTGACCAAGGATTTTGGACTCACCAAGCCTCCATAACTGTGGAGGCCAGTTCCTTAAAATAAATCTCTTTATGTATATATCCCATGGGTTCTGTTTCTCTGGAGAACCCTGAGCAATTCAGTCTCTAAGTCAAACTGTGCTAGCTCAGTCACCCACTGATTTTCACAACATGAGTCAGGGAGCTGAAACTTCTGCATATTTTTGTCAGCTCTACAGGTAATACTGCTCCTGGTGACTTCCTTCCCTGTGGCCAGAAAAATGGGGAGTGGCGAATGGGAAAGAAATGAATCACATTTTTTGAAAGATTGTAACTGATTATGTAAGAAACACTGGTGCTTTGGAACCATCTGGACACTTTTTATCTTCCCTTCACACAATATTATTTCATTCATATTTTAGTGATCAGGAAGGTTGAGCTACACCCTAACCTGTCTAGATCCTGTAATGGTCAAGAACATCAAATATCACACATACAGTGTTATCTTTATAGTCTATATTTTTAGCTATCTCCATAGTATTTTTGTAAGACTAGATAGGACCATAAGTATAAAGTCTATGGGATGTAGTGTTTTCATAAGATGTTTCAGGGTAGTGCCTCCCCAACTCTTCCTATGCCCTTAACACAATTTTGTTGTTGTTTTGTTTTGTTTTGTTTTTTAAGGAAACAAAATTTCCTACCCTGGAAACACTTGGAAACCCTACCATAGGGGTGTCGAACTCAATCAGAGAAGGGGCCAAAGTCTAACATCCAGCCTAAATCGCGGGCCGAATGGTTTACTGAACAGTCATAAACTGTCATTGTGATGGAAACGCAGCGGAGTGCAGTGATGACAGCGCGGTGCGGACCACATTGCAAGGCCTGGCGGGACGGATTTGGCCCGAGGGCCTTGTTTTTGACACATGTGCCCTACCAAGAGGATCCTTGGCTTTCCAGCATTTAAACTCTCTCGCTCCTCCCAGTTCCCCCGCCACCTCCATCCTCCCAACCGGCGGGAGGCGGGCGCCCGCCCAGCCAATCAAGTTCAACCGGGCCCTCCTCCCGCGCGTCTTTCAAAGGCCACCTGGGAACCAATGAGCGGCCGGAGGCGGCTGGGGGGCGGAGTAAGAATCAGGGCGAGGGCGTAATTGGCTCCTAGAAGACACCGCGCCCCACCTCACAAAGGGATGCACCAATGAGCTGAGCGAAGGGGCGGGTTCGGCGCGGGGTGAGACCCTGCTGCGGCCGGAGGGAGACGGTGGCGGGTCGCGACGCGGGGCTGCCCGCGATGAAGCCGGTGAGTCGGGCGGAGGCTCGGAGGAACGGAGCCACAGGGACGGACGGAAGCGGTCCTGGCTTCTGGAGGTGGCTCTCCCGCTTCCTGTGGGAGCGATGTCAGTCTATTCCGGACCCCGGTTTTACTCTGCTCTCCCGTCCTGGGGCCCCGGGACATCCTGGTCCGGTGGCGCGGCGACTCGCGCAGTGACCGTTTTGGGAGGGGAGGTGGCGCCTCCCGGGCCGGCGAGAGCGATGGCCGGGAGGACTGGGGCGGCGGGACGAGGGGAAGACGTGCGCCGGGGGAGGGCTGGGCTGTCGCCTGCGGGGTCTTTTAAGTCTCGCGACAGCCATGCCCGTTTTCCCGAGGAAACTGAGGCGTAGAGAGCTTCAGGGTCTCCGCCTGCCAGGTACCCCAGCCCCCAAAGATGTAGCGGGCTGCCTGTGCCCCCGGGGGAGCTGTCCTCGCCGTGGACGGGGGGAAATTTCAGGAAAGACGATGGCCAATCCCCGCTCGTGGGTGTGGCCACCACTGTCACCATCTCCGAGGCCACCCGGCACCCTGCGTGCCTTTCCCTGGGGTTCAGGATCCCTGGGTCTGGGGGAGCCTGAAGCGTGCAGCTGCGTTGGGAGCTGTAAATCCCAGACGGGTTGCCTGAGTGGGCCTCACAAATTGAACGTCTTGAATCAACAAAACTGCTTTTTTTAAAATATATATATAGCCGAAGCCGGTTTGGCTCAGTGGTAGAGCGTCGGTCTGTGGACTGAAGGGTCCTGGGTTCAATTCCGGTCTGGGGCATGTGCATTGGTTGCGGGCACATCCCCGGTAGGGGGTGTGCAAGAGGCAGCTGGTCAATGTTTCTCTCTCGTCGACGTTTCTAGCTCTCTATCTCTCTCCCTTCCTCTCTGTAAAAAATCAATAAAATATATATTTTTAAAAAATATATATATATATATTATTTATTTATTACAGAGAGGAAGGGAGAGGGATAGAGAGAAACATTGATCAGCTGCCTCTTGCACACCCCCTATTGGGAATGTGCCCTCAACCCAGGTACATGCCCTTGACTGGAATCGAACCCGGGACCCTTCAGTCCGCAGGCTGTTGCTCTATCCACTGAGCCAAACCGGTTTTGACCAATACTGCTTTTTTAAGAGGGAGGAAAAAAGGAAAAACAGATCAATACAAGAAGCTGAAGTCCACCTGACTTCCATCACCTACCACTAAGGTTGACAACTTACTGACTGGCCTTCCTTTAAGTTGAGTTAATAACACAGATAGGTCCAAAGCACCTCAAACCCACAGCCTAAGCTGGCTCTGGAATGTTTCCTTGTAACAAACAAGACCGGTGTAGAATACAGCGTCAGAGCTGGAACGGCCATTAAGTGGTTACTCTTCTCGTCCCCGCGTTGCCCTGTGTGGGCACATCAGCTGGCCTCCTCCTCCACTTGTGCCAGAGGTTTGGGAGGAGCTGAACACAGGTAGCTCAACCCCTTCATCCCTTCTCTCTGCAGAGAGCGCATTCTTTCTGCCCCAGGGAGCCCTGGGTGGGCTTTGGCTGCCTATGACTGGGTGGATGAATCCAATTCTGCATGAAGGTTTGACAAGCCCAACCAGACCACCGCTTTAAAGACACGTGACCCTTAGTAATAAAACTGATCTATTGATCTCCATTTGCCTTTCCTGTGTTTTATCTCTCAGTCATTTCCAACTAAGGATTAGAAGAAAGGTATGTTTTTATTGGTGCTATAAAACTTTCAACCGTCTGCCATGTAGAAATGATGCCCACAGGATTGAGTTCCAACTCCTTAGATCAGCATACAAAGTCCACCTCAATCTTTCAAATTTGAGGGCAGGTTATTATTCCAACTAAAATTCCTACCCCAATCAAACTACTAGGCTCTATGGGGGTTATTTTTGTTTGTTTGTTTGTTTTTACAAATGGAGTAGGTAAAACATCTCTAGCTCCACCTCCTCTGCTCTGATCTGTTTCCAAGTGCACAAGCCCTTTCTCGATTTGTAATAGCCTTCACTTCTTCCCGATCTGCCTGAAACCTCCTGCTCATTCCTCAAAACCCAGTTAATGCATCTCCTCTGTGAAGCTTTCTCCAGCTCCCAGAGCAGTTATTCACTCCTCTTTTTGCTCTGAAATGCTTAGATTTTGCTTCCATGTTAGCATTTAAAATCTGTAATCAGTGCACATGTCTGTGCTTCCAACTATACTGAAGGGAGGCTCTTTGTTTTATGAATCTTTGGTTGCCAGAAGTTGGCAGAAGAAGATGTCCAAGAAATGTTTGTGAATGAGTGAGTAAATCTCACTTTATAGTTGTGAGAAACTGAGATCCAGACTAAAATGACATCACAGAGCCAACACCAGAAGCCGGGTTTCTTGATTCCCAATCCAGCTCTACTACAAAGTGCTGTAGTTATTAATAGTATGGTAAATAACAATAATTATCATTGCAATTGCTAATCTCTGACATTCCAGATTGAATAAATATCAAATACGTATTCAGTGTATCTTTAAGCAAAGATCAGTTATACTAAGATGATATGTAAATATTCTTTACAGTTATTTAACATAACTAATTTCTTTTGAAGCCTATTTCATTGCAGACAAGTGAGTTTGACTCATCAGATGAAGAGCCTATTGAAGATGAACAGACTCCAATTCAGATATCATGGTATGTTAACATTTATGATCAATGATGAGTTAAAATATTTGATATGTACATCATAATATTCATAGCATGAAGTCTACATATTGAAAGAATTTAACGATTCTCTCCCACTGATTATAATTCCAATTTTTATGAGATTGTCCAACTCCATGATTTATTTACTATCTATGATAGAATTAGGCTTTTTTGCAGGTGCGTGGGACTCTTTATATATTGAGGAAACCATAATAGAAACAAGTACTAGTAATTAAGGAGTTGAGATCCCATTGGAATGATCTCCCATTTAGTACCAAAACCTACTTATTCTTTTATGATAAAAGAACACTGTAACAAACAGAGAAGATATTTCGTCATTTATCATGTAGTCAAATCCTAGAACTAATTGCCACAGTAATGCATCTATCAGCAGACCATTTAACATTAAAAGCCAATTGCCATAGATACAATAACAAATACAGATTTTTCTATAGAAAACCAATTTTAAAATCTTGGCAGTGACTTATGGTTATACCAGATTCTCTACACCCAGCAATCAAATGCTTTCTTTCTTGCGTGTAAATATAATCATCTGTTTCTTTAAGAAAGCCATTCCAATCCTGGCCAAATAGTTCAATTGGTTATAGTATCCTCCTGATACACCAAGATTGTGGATTCCATCCCCAGTTAGGCCACATAAAAGAACAAATCAATGAGTGAACAAATAAGTGGGACAAGCCAGTGTTCCTCTCTCTCTCTCTCCCTCTCTCTCTCTCTCTTTTCCTCTCTCTCTCTCTCTCTTTCTCTCTCTTTCCTATCTAAAATCAATACTTTTTATTATTATTTTTTAAAGACACATTATTATTTTTTATAGGACAACACTATAGGAAGAGAAAAAGAATAAAAGTGTTGTCCTTAAAATTTTTGTTCTGCCATTAAATAGCAATTATCTTTCATTGCCCTTTCCAAACTCCCTTTTAAACTCAAAAATTCATCTAATTTTCAAAGTCAAGTGATATTTATATGTTGCCCTCTGTCTTCCTTTATACTCATTTTCTATCTTAAAAATAAGATAAGTCTCCCCCCATTGTCCCCAAGTACCGCAAACTGGGAATATGGTTTCTTGAAATTATTTAATTTTATCCAAAATCCATTACTACTTCAAGGCGTTGGTGGTATAGTGGTGAGCATAGCTGCCTTCCAAAATCCATTACTACAAAGAATGGGTGGCCTGTGATTTTTTTATCATATGAAATTTTATCTGTTTAAGGAGAGCCTACAAAGGAATCTTAAAATAGTAATATAGACTGAATGCTGGGAATGATACTGTCAGATAGTCATTTTCCAGCTTATTTCTGAAGGTTACTAAGACAATGTATCTATAGGGTAACTTAAGGGCGTTTTATACTAGCTGTTGGCATCCTAGGCATTATTATCTTTAAGGTAAGTTTGACTTGCCACTTTTTAGGACTTAAATTGTGACAAAGCAAATGATAAGTCTCCGTTTCAAAACTTCCAGTTTTCCTCGACCTTTTTGAGACCAATACATTGATATTTAACTATGAATTTTTGTTTTGTGACTACTATAGACCTTTAAAACACTTGTTTAATGGCAAGCACACACGTTTACTAAATTGAATTCTCATTTATAACTTTTTAAAGACTGAACTATACTTGATAAAGTTTTATCTTTTCAGGCTGCCCTTGTCACGAGTGAATTGTTCTCAGTTCCTGGGTTTATGTGCTCTTCCAGGTAGGTAACACTACAGTTGGCTTCTTACTGATATATTTTTTAAAAGGTGGGGTTTTTTCTTTTATAAGTTTTTGTTTATTTTTGTTTGTTTGTTTTTGGTCAGATAACACATTATTCTCCATACTGAGTAATAGGAGAATTGGCCATCAGCATGGACATCATTTTTAGGAGCCCTTATGTTGGGCCATAGGTAAAGGAACCTGTGTTACACTCTTCAACCCTTCCAGATCCACATTCAGTTTTACATTTCTGACTTACCTATCTTAATAAAATGTAAACCCTGGGTTACAATATGAGACTGAGGACTATAGATAGGTACTTGTTACCTAAAGAACATAGAAGAAATAATCCTCACATTAGTAGTTCCTTCAGCTGGGATCCATAAATCCCTGGGTTCTATTCCTAAGAATATAAGAAATTGAAATTTACATTCAAAATGGAATTGAAGCATATTAATAATCATGTGGAATGTCTTTCTAAAGTAGCTACATTTTGTTAAAATATACTTGTTATATATGACCAAAAACTGACTTTTTCACTTGTTTTATCATTACTTATAGGTTGTAAATTTAAAGATATTAGAAGAAATATCCAAAAAGATACAGGTAGGTGTAATATGAAACAACCATGTTAATAATTTCTTTTAAAATGACACTAACAGTCTCCTTCTCAGAAAGAAAAACTGTAGTCTCTTCTCAATATACCAAATAAATTATTGGTATTTCATAAAATTTCAAACTACACACTTATTCTAATATGTAAAGAGGTATTTGTGAAGGGTACAGAAAACTCATCATTCACTAAAATAAGCATGGTGTTGCTTTTCACTGAATGGTAATTATATTATACACTAGGGGTCTGGTGCACAAAATTTGTGCTCAGGCTGTCCCCTCTCACATACTGGGAGCCCTCAGGGGATGTCCTACTGATGGCTTAGCCCCACTCCCCATTGGGAGCGGACCTACGCTGCAGTCTGGTCTCCCTTTGCAGGAGGCGACCAAGCTGATCAGGGGAAGGTGCCAGTCCCATCACCCCACTGCTGCAGCCACTGTCAGTCACCACAGCCACCAAGGTATTTTCATCAACATGGACTCCAGTCCCTTCGCCATGAAAAAATGACAACTTTCTTTAACCATTTTCAAGATGTGTCTTTCATAGGATATGACATTTATTTTTCTTTTTATCCTCACCTGAGGATATGTTTCCATTTTTTTTCCCCCTTCCCTCTGATCCCAGGTTCGGCCCCTGCCCAAGCTTAAAGCCTCTGCCCCAGGCTTTAGGCTTGGGAAGGGGGATCCCTGGCACCTCCGATCACAGGCTCAGCCCCTTCCCAAACCTAAAGCCTCCTGCCGATGGCCAGCTGGGAGTGACCTGGGTGTGGAGGAGGTTCCCACGACCCAGGTATGTATGCAAATTAGCCACCATCTTTGTTGGGTTAATTTGCATACTCACTCTGATTGGCTGTGGGTGTAGCGGAGGTACGGTCAATTTATATGTTTCTCTACTAGGTAAGATGGAAACTGCCTTTGAGTTTAAAATGTATAAGTTGGAGTGAGAAAAGTATGTAAATAGAAAATTGACGTTTTGTAGATCTTTGAATGTTGTTCTTTACAGACTTGACTGTGGTAGTGGAAATTAAGCCTGAGCTGGGAACTCAGAGGTCGTAGTGAAATTGTCCATCCCACATAGAAAATTTAGAGAGCCAGCACCTAAAAGGTGCGAAAGATGGAGCGAGGTCTCATCTTCACATGCTCAAAGATGTTCCAACCACTGTCGCCTCAAGTCTGATAATCTTACAAACATCCTGATAATCTACTCCAATTTGAAATTTACATACTGCATAATGCTAAAAAACTCAGATTTCAAAATATTTTATTCTAGTTGACCTAGAATATTTCAAGACTACTAGTCCTACCAATCTATACTAATAAAAAGGTAATATGCAAATTGGTCACAAAGCCCTCAAAGTAACAACTGACCAGCAGGCTGCATGGGGTGGGGCGACCAGGCTGGCAGGGGAGTTAGTGAGGGACAACCAAACAACTGACTAGCAGGCTGTGTGGGGCAACCAGGCCAGCAGGGGGTAGGAGGGTCAGTGAGGAGTGACCAGGCCATCAGGCAGTTGGGGGTAACCAGGCTAGCAGGGGGACACTAAGGGGCAACCAGACCAGAAGGGGGGGTAGTTAGAGGCAATTAGGCCGGCAGAAGGGGGCAGTTGGTGATGACCAGGCTGGTGGGGGTGCAGTTAGGGGCAATCAGGCTGGCAGGCAGGTGAGCAGTTAGGAGCCAGTGGTCCCAGATTGTGAGAGGGATGTCTGACTGCCGGTTTTCAGCCCAATCCCTGTGATCAGGGTGAAACCAGTAGTCAGACATCCCCCAAGGGATCCCAGATTGGAGAGGGTCTAGGCTGGGCTGAGGGGACAACCTTCTCCCCCACCCCCATGCATGAATTTCATGCACCGGGCCTCTAGTGTCCTTATAATACATCAAAATAAAAATATGTTATTAATTGGTTCTGACCAGTATAGCTTTTTTAATCTTCATTTTTTTCTCATTGTTTTAGAATATGAATTTGCTGATGTACTTCAATTTATATCTTACCTACAAAAAAAAAAGTTTTAAGAGGCTAATAGATTAGTTGACCCTTGTAATATTTGTAAAAAAATTTTGAGTTAGACACCTACCTTGGTAGGAAATTTCCATTTGGAGAACATTTAATATAAATCCCTGGTTCAAGATCCAGCCTTGCACATTTTTAAAAGCCCTATTTATTTAGTATCTTCTATAAAAGGGGTTTCCAATATTCTACCACACCTTTTGTTTCTCAATGCAATTCAGTATTTTTAAAAAATGGCAATGTTTGATAGAGCCCTAGAATCTCCTTGTGGCAGGCCCTGTGGTTCCTCCTCAAAGTGCTTTCCAGGGAAGTTTGAAAACCACTATATAATTGAAATTATCCAATGTGTACAAGAGGCAATAGAAAATTACTTCCTCTTAAAAATAGTTAGGTGTGTTAATGATAGGTTAAATCTTTTTAGAAGTATAAAAACTTGCAGTAATTTCTAGAGCACCACGGTCCATAGAAATATAATGGGAACCACAAGTAGAGGCCATATATGTAACTTCACATTTTCCAGTTGTCACGTTTAAAAAACAAAACAAAAAAAAAACAGGTGAAATTAACTTAATAATATATCTTACTTAATCTAATTAATCTAAATAGTCTCATTTCAATGGGTTTTTATTATAAAACATGAGGTAGGTTTTTTTGTATTTAATCTTTGAAATTAGATATGTATTTTACACTTAGAAAGCATCTCAATTTGGACTAGACATATTTCAAGTGCAATAGATTTATAGATTATCATTTGTTATTTACTTAGAGGTTCATGATCAAAGGCACTTTGCACTTAAATAGCTAAATATCCTTGGATTTGGGAGACAGGGAAGGAGAAGAGGCTGAGATCAGTCAGAATTAGATATTGCCATAAGAAAGTTCTGGTGTGTAGAATGCCCTATGGTACTGTTGCTTGGTTCATATTCATTATACTAATAAAAGTGGCTAATTGTATAATTCTAGTACAGTTAGTGTTTTATTTCCTGGAGACCTGGCACATAAATTCATGATGGTGTGGTACAGTGTGACTACAAGAGCTCTGACACCACGGTCATGCTGGAGACTTTATATATTGATACAATGCTTAGGGTGAAACAAAACAACAGATTGGTGAAAGCAACAAACATGGTTGGTTTTGTGGGAAGAAAACAGAAAAAAAAAAAAAAGTACTCTTTCTCAAGAGTTTATTTTGAAATATTAAATTTATTTTGAAGCATTTATTGTAAAAAATATCAAGAACAAAAATATAATGGACTCGTTTTTAAATTCAGTAAAAAGCATTTTGAGTTTTAAAGTCTGATTTAAATTTAACCACCTTTTATTGCAAATGTTTTGGTAAATCCCATTTTATGAAAAGTGACTTAATTTTTACCCTAGTTTGAAGACAGATCGGTATTGTTTTAGATTATCAGCACTTCAAATTTATAGATTATCATTTATTATTTACTTAGTTTGGCTTAAGAAATATAACTCCAGTTACATGGCCGGTGTGGCTCCATTGATTGGGCATCATCCTATGCACCGAAAGATTATTGGTGACACATGCCCAGGTTGTAGGCTCCATCTTGGTGGGAGCGGGGGATGCAGGAAGCAACTGATTAATGTTTCTCTCTTACATCCATGATTCTCTCTCAAAAAATCAATAAAAACATTTTTTTAAAATAATAATTCCTTATAAAAAGAAATGTTAACTCTATATGCTGTGTGTCTGTGTATTTTGGTCTATTGGCAGAAGAACTGAAGAACTATGGCATACAAGACATATTTGTTTTCTGCACCAGAGGGGAACTATCAAAATATAGAGTCCCAAACCTTTTGAACTTCTATCAACAGTATGGAATTATTACTCATCATCATCCAATCCCAGATGGAGGGACTCCCGACATAGCCAACTGCTGTGAAATAATGGAGGCACTTGCAATCTGCCTTAAAAATAACCGAAAAACCTTAATACAGTAAGTTCTCCTTTTCTCCATACATTACATGAGAAATGTCCCAGTCAGAATGACTTCTCCAATTACTGCATCTTTATTCAGTTATTACTTACCTTCTGTTTTGTTGTAAGGATTAAAAAGAAAGAATGGATGAAAAGTACCAGCACAATACCTGGTACAGAGCAAGTACTCAGAAATTTGTCCTTATTACTTTTGAAGAATAAGAACAATAAAAGAGTAGATTTTGAAATTTCTAGAATAGGGACAGGCTTTTCTTTCCAAAAGAAAAAGACCTTTAGTTACAATTTTAGGACCCTCCCTCCCAAAAAAAAGATTGTGCATTATTTTCATATTAACAACTTATGGATCAGCCTTTCAGTTGCTTCCAACAACAAGAAAACCAATTTTATAAAAATTAGCAGTAAAGAAATAATCAGAAATCCTAAGCAATCTATTCTTTTATTGTCCTTAACTCTTCAAAAGTAATAAAAGCAAATTTCTGAGTGCTCGCTCTCTACAAGGTGTTGTGCTGATAATCTTAAAAATATGACTTGAAGATTACAATATATTTGATTATGTGAATTTGCTACCAATATGAAAGAGGGACTCTCACTGTTTGTCAAATGGCTATACACAGCTGCTGATATGAAAGCTTAAAACAAAATAAAACAGGCTAAGAAAAAAAGAGAAAAAAAGAGTAGATTGTAGAAAGGAAGAAGAGAAGTGGTGCTGTGTATAAGAAGACAGATGCTCTGCCAGAAGTGAGACACAGCAGAGGACCTGCCACAGGAAGCAAACCAGTCCTCTGTGCTCATGATACTTTTTATAGCCTAATAAGCTGCTTAATCCTTTCTGAAACAAGATAGAATATTAAATACTCTAACACCTCAAAAGCTCTAAAGTCCATGAATTCATTGAGTTGCGTTAGAAATTATGCAAATGAACCAAAATAACCAAGTAGTCTTAGACCACGTAGGAAAAGGGCAAGCCTAGTCAACTTCTCTTCTTTGATCTAGAGCTCAGAGGTCTCATGCAACAGTTCCGGTTCTGAAGGCAAAGCACAGTAGCGCAAGGTCTTTGAGGGTACACACCTGTTTGTGGCCAAACTGAACTCTGATGAACAGAGAACTAGTAGGGAATAAAGAAGTAGAAGCCATCCTACAATTGGCAAATTTGCTCTAGAGAAAAGCATAATCTCTCACTGTAAGCAATTACTAATTGCTTTACTAATTATAAAAGCAAAATTTTAGAATAAAGAGTTGTCTTTGCTAAATATTCTAAGCCTAAAATTCATTAGATAACTAGATGTACCTAGGGAAAAACATTTTCCAATTTTTGGACCCTTTTTCAAACCAAATCTGAGATTTTTTTTTTCAAGTAAATTTTTTTCTTTTTTGCATTTTTCTCAAGTAAATTTTTGAAATATTTACTGAAAAGTTTCCAGAGATCAAACTAGCTCAGATTAGAGAAGCTTAATGAATTCCACTCTAATAGGTTCTAGAAAAACAAATACTCTGATGTTTGAACAGTGCAGACAAGATAGAAAGATGGGTGGGCAGCCTTTTGTATGTTAACTGCTTCAGGCTCCCACAGATCATCTGATGACCGGAAGTTTTCATTGTCCCAGAGCTTTCACAGTGTCCTTGAGTAACTACTGTTGGGACAAAGACAATTTCCTCTCCATTCTGCCATCTTCGAGTGCCCAGATGACCATACAGCTCTAGAGTTTATCCCTCCGAAAGAGAGTCTGGTACATTTTTTCACTGTCTCACTAGTTCTCCCTGGATATTTCATTCCTTTATAAAGTCAGTGAGCATGGTATAACCATGATATACCATATCCTAGGGCTGTTGTAACAAAGCACCACAGACTGGATAGCTTTAAACAACAGAAATTTATTCTCTCCCAGTTCTGGAGGCTAGCAGCCCAAAATCAAAACCAACAACCATACTCCCTCAGACTAGAGTCTTTCTTTGCCTCTCCCTAAGCTTCCATTGGTGGCCAGCAATCCCAGGCATTCCTTGGCTTGTAGCTGCATCACTCCAATCTCTGCCTCAGTCATGACATGGTTGTCTCTCTGTGTTTGTGCCTTCATATAGTATTTTCCTCTTATAAAGACACCTGTCAGATTGGATGAGGGCCCACCCTAATGACCTCATCTTAACTTGATTACATCTACAAAGACTGTTTCCAAATAAGGTCACATTCACAGCACTAGGGATTAGGACTTCAATGTATCTTTTTGGGGGCACAATTCAACCCATAACACTTGGTTTTCATACTTATGTTACCAGTGGGTATTATTTAGTATCATAACACCTGCATATGGATAACTAAGAAAACAAAACAAAATAAATACAAATTGAATACAAAACACACACTGTGAAGCATGCCCCCACCCTCAAGGAATCCACAGCCAACAATGCTATCATGTGGATGCAAAGCACACACAAGGTGTGTATGAGGCAGCACACAGGACAGAGATAGTTTCTGGGGGAGTGCAAGGCATTTCAGGGAATAAAATTGGAGGTGGGTTTTGAAGGATGAGTAGGAATCAATGAACCAGTCAGAGGAGGAAAGATAAGAGTAGCAAGAGGTGTGAAGTAGTAGTAATCTTGCAGAAAGCCACTGCAGTACTCTATCTACCTTTCTGCCGTGGGTCCTCACCTCTGAAACGGGCCTACATCTGGGACACTGAGTAGAAAGCCAGTTCATGAATTCTCTAGAGGCCAGTGCCTGTCTGGTCCTCTGCCTCACATCCTATCAGGAGACATGTATGTAGAGCTTTATCTACAATACACTACAGTAATTGATGTTCAGGATGAGTCATCAGCACCCAATTAGGTTCAGTATATGCTCTAAGAAAGTTAGGAAGTGTGTAATACATTTTTAGTTTTGTTGATTAAATGCTTAAAATGAATGCTTTTGTTGTTTTCAAGGTCAATCTTCATTTTCCTGAGATCAGTTGTGCAGAATTGCTAATATCTTCATAGCGCTAACATTAATTTACTTCTTATTATGTGCCAAGCTCAGTTCTAAGCTCTTTACAGATGTTACCCATTTAGTCCTCTCTATGAGGTAGGCACTGTTGCTGTCACCATCTTATAGGTGAAAAGGCTGAGGCCCAGAGAAGCTAAGTAATTTGCTTAGATTCAAGCATCTAATAAATGATAGATACAGATTCAACCCAAGTAGGGGGCTCCAGAGCCCATGCTCTAAACCTCTGTGGTATGCTACCTCTGTACTCTTCTAAGGTAAATGAAGAGTTATACAGACAGCACTTGTCCCATAACCACTAAGGTTTTATTCAGACAGAGGAAGATCATCCAAGTGGTAGTTGGTAAAATAGTCTGATTTCTACCATATTTAGTAACCAGTTAACACTCCTCAGATGTAGATCCTGGCGGTTAAAGAGGTCTCTAAAAAGGCCTTGCCTACTTGACCCTTACAAGTGTTCAGGATGACTGCTCTTCATCATATAAATAAGCACTTTGCTCTTCATTGGCTCAAAAATACTTATTAATCTCAGTTTGCAAGGCACTGTGCTGGACATCAAAGTTAAAAATAGATGGCAGGAAGAACTAGTCCTTAGTTGTAATTGTTGGGATGGAATGAAAATATATAAATCTCAAAACTGTACTTCCCTTTCAGCTGTTATGGAGGAATTGGAAGATCTTGTCTTGGTAAGGAATATATTTTCATTATTCAGTTGTTGTTTTTTTACTTCAAGTATGCAAACTCCTCTTTTGGGGGCATATGCTCACTGTGTGAAAAGGAAACAAAACACAATATAAGTCTGCTAAGACCATCAGTTTATTTAAGGCCCTAAATTTGGTGTTCCCTAGCAAGCTAAGGTGGGAGCGAGAGGTGTTTTCAGCATTATTTTGGAGGATTCTACAAACCATAATTTACAAGTCTTAGCACCTGCATTCTTGTGTTTTGTTTTGTTTTGTTTTGTTTTGTTAGTTATCCGTGTGCAGGTGTTATGATACCAACAGTAACTTCTAAATAATACCCACTGGTAACATAAGTATGAAAACCAAAGTTAATTACCATATGTTAACTTTAAAATAAAAAAAAAAAATGTATTAGGGGAAAAAAACATTAAATGAAATATCACACTGATATAAATTTATTCCTTCTAGTATTGCACAGTATGGAAATTAAAAACTTTTGTATTTCAAAGAACACTATCAAAATTAAAAGACATTATGGGGAAAGTATTTGCAAACCATACATCTGATAAGGGACTCACTAGAATTTATAAAGAACTCATAAACTCAATAATAAAACAGCAATCCAATTTAAAAAAAAAAAAGAGAAAAATATCTAAATACATATTTCTCCAAACAAAATATACACAAATGACCAATAAGCACATGAAAATTAGACGTTCAGTTTGGCTGGTGTGGTTCAATGCTTGAGCATCGACCCAGGAACCAAGAGGTCACAGGTTCGATTCCTGGTCAGGGCACATGCCCGGCTTTTGGGCTTGATCACCAGTAGTGGATGTGCAGGAGACAGCCAATCGAAATTTCTCCATCAATGTTTCTATATATCTCTCTTCCTCTCTCTCTAAAAATCAATTAAAACATTTATTAAAAAAAGGGGGGGGGATGTTCAGCATCACTAGTCTCAGAGAAATGCAAAACAAAAACACATTAAGCTCTGGTCAATGTTGCTCAGTGGTTACAACACCAAGAAGGCCCAAACACCAAGAAGGATCACAGGTTCGATTCCCAATCAAGGCATGTACCTAGGTTGTAATCCTCTCTTGTGGGAGGTAACCAATCAATATGCCTCTCTTACATCGATGTTTCTCTCTTTCCTTCCCTTCCTCCCTTCCTTCCACTCTCTCCGGAAAAATAAATAAATAAATACAATACAATACAATACAATACAATACAATACAATACAATAAATGGGAAAACTATCCTCTGCTAAAGATTAACAATAACAAAAAGCCACAATGTGATACCATTTAATACTCATTAGGATAGCTATTATCTAAAAAATGGAAAATAAGCATTTGCTAGGGTATGGAGGAAGAGGTACCCTTATACAGTGCTGGTGGGAATGTAAAATGGTGCAGCTTTTGGAAAATATTTGGAAAATAATCTGGCTATTCCTCAGTTAAACACAGTTAATACATGAGCCAGCAATTCCACTCCTAGGTATATTCCCAAAAGAAATAAAAATGTCATGTCCACACAAAAATTTATACGTGAATGTTTATAGCAGCATTATTTATAATAGCCAAAAAATTGAAATCTGAATTTCCATCAATTGAAAAATAAACAAAATGTATATCCAAAAACATTCATCCATAAAAAGGAACATGCCACAATATGTATAAATCTTCAACACATTATGCTAAGTGAAAGAAGCTAGTCACAAAAGACCATATATGATTCCATTTATTAAAAATGTGTAGACTAGACAAATCTATAGAGACAGAAAATAGATTGTTGATTGTTTAGGGCTGGGGGGATGGGGTGGTAGGGGGATGGTAACAAAAGGGTACAGGGTTTCTCTTGAGGTGGTGAAAACTGGTGAGAGCTGCACATATCTGAATACACTGTAATCCACTGGCTTGTATACTTTAAATCGTATACTTATATAATATGAGTTATCTATAATAATAAATGCATAATATGCTAATTAGACTGGATGTCATTCCGGGCAACCTTCTGGATGAAGCCAGGGCTGTGAGGGAAGCCTGGGTCCCAGGTGCTTGAGGGAAACCAGTGCTGGCAGCCGGGGGAAGGAAGGCCTACTCTTGCATGAATTTCCTGTATCAGGCCTCTAATTCAATAAAGCTATGTGGGGAAAAAGAATGAAGCCAGTGTTACTTTTAATCCAATCATTTAAAATTACAATTTAACTGTCAAAAAACACATACTAAAGCCTCAGCCTTTTAATTCATTTCAAACAATTATACCAAACTTGGTGTTCTGTACCAAAATAAGTGTAATTAAATATAAAATACTCTATCCTACCATGAATTAGTTAATAATTTACTATTTTCCTATCATGTTCTATTAGTAGCCGCTTGTCTCCTACTGTATCTGTCTGACACAGTATCACCACAGCAAGCCATAGACAGCCTGAGAGACCTAAGAGGATCTGGAGCGATACAGACCATAAAGGTACCGAGGTGGACTGTTTTTGTGCAAGTGTGACTGGGGGGGGGGGGGGGGGGGGGGGGGGGGGCAGACCTTTAGAAACACAGGGTAACTCATCATTGTGGGAAAGGACACTATGTCCCCTTCCCTCCTCTGGGTCTTTTCGGCTGGTTGAATAATTAAATCAACATGAGACGTCGACAAGAGAAAATCAAATTTACGTTCAGAAATTAGTTTGCCCTGCCATATAGATGGGTTATCTTCAGTAATAACTCATTATCGGCAAGGCTCTAATTCAAATCCCTCTGGAGAGCTGGGGAGGAGGTGGCAGAAGTTTCTCTTGGTTGCCTTTAGCTCAAAATAACCAATGTATCACTGACCATATATCTTGGGGTGGCTGGTTCTGAACCCCTATATTATCAAAAGAGCAATAAAAATCCAAAACATTCTATTATTCATGTACCACCTGATTATATTTTAATTGTTTTAATTTTAAATATAACCTGGATGTCTAAAAAAGTTCACAATATTGAAAAAATTGAACTTCCCAGTTACTCTTCCAAGATCTACAACTGTTCAGTTTTTGCCCCTTCAATTCTGGAAATGAATCATTTCACTTGGAAAAAGGAGATCGTTACCATAAACTTGGGAATTCCTTGGGTAGATTTTTACTGAAAAAAAATCTAATGAAGACCTTATATCATCCAAACACTTAATAAAGATAGATGAATTACTATAATACAAAAAAATGTAAAGCAGTTTTACTGTGGATAATCAAAGTGGTGTTTTTCCACATTGACTTTTCCTTTAACACTTCAAAAGCACTGTGGTGGCAACGCCCAAGGATATTATTATATACTACTGGCCCGGTGCATGAAATTCAGCCCAGCCTGCATTCTCTCTAATCCAGGATCCCTCGCGGGATGTCTGACTGCTGGCGTTGGGCCTAAAACAGCAATTGGACAACCCTCTCAAAATTTGGAACTGCTGGCTAACTGCTCACCTGCCTGCCTGCCTGATTGCCCCTAACTGCCCCACCCCACCCCCGCCAGCCTGATCATCCCTAACCACCTCTGCCTTCTGGCCTAATCACCCCTAACTCCTACCCCCTGCCTGCCTGTTTGGCCCCCCACCCCCCTGCCGGCCTGGTCGCCCCACGCAGCCTGTTAGGTTTTCTGTCCAGTTTCAGTTGTGACGGCTCCTAGCTTTTTATATATTAGGATTAATCATGTTGCTAAAAAGATCCTGCAGATTTCACTTTATTTTAGCTCAGTAAAGCTCAATCAGGAGCAGGCACTAAAGAATGTTGGCTTTTAGGTGGTTCCCTGAGTTGGACAGTCCATCTTCCCAGGGTGCAAACCTAACCAAGTATAATGAATGTGAATTATTACAACTGATGAGTTCCCCAAGCAGCCTGGCTCTCTGTGCTCAAATAAGGTCATGCACACGTTCTGAAAACAGAGCTCCCTTTATTAAGATCAAATGAGGCTTCAAATTCAAAATGTTCTTGTCTCACTCTGAAACAAAACAAAATAAAATACACATAGTTGTACACATATATGAACTTTTTACATCTTTAATCTTGGAGAGAAGCTCACATTAGTATGGGCTTTCAATTTATCACTTGAGCATTCTGTGGCAAACAGGCTTTTCCTCATTAGCAATATGCAATTTCCACCCCTCGGTAATGAGAGGGAATGAGATTATTGGCAGAGTAAGAATATCCTCTAGGAAGCTATTAAAACTCAAAATAAATTAAAAATTTAAATTTGCTTAAGATTAATTTGTGATATTATCTACTTTGAAAATTATTCCAAATAGATTATGTCATCACAAAAAGTAAATATATATACAGGGCTTCTATAAGAAATAGATTTTCTTGCCGAAACCGGTTTGGCTCAGCGGTAGAGCGTCGGTCTGCGGACTGAAGGGTCCCGGGTTCGATTCCGGTCAAGGGCATGTACATTGGCTGCTGGCACATCCCCAGTATGTGCAGGAGGCGGCTGGTCGATGTTTCTCTCTCATCGACGTTTCTGGCTCTCTATCTCTCTCCCTCCCTCTCTGTAAAAAATCAATAAACTATATATTAAAAAAAAAAAAAAAAGATTTTCTTGACTATACCAAAGTTAATTGCTTCAGAAAGTCCTTCTCCGCCCTACTTACCCACACCCCTCTCCCACAGGGGAAAATACACTTACAAAAAGAATTCCTTCACTACCTATTTTTAATTTTTTGCTCCTTCCAGTAAAGGGAGAAAGGATTTTTACAGATTTATATTCATGTTTCAAGCTACCTTCTAATTTTTTGAAGCAGTTTTTCACACTTAATGCAGCTTTATTGGAATATAAATACTTGCCTACCCCAAAGGATACAGATTGTTTTTAGCAAATGTTTCTGATTCCTGATTCCTACCAGCATTGAGACTACTCTGGGAGGTAGTTTTCTACAATGTATTTCAATACATCTTTTCCTTTTTCAGCAATATAATTATCTTCATGATTTTCGGGACAAACTTGCTGCACACCTGTCTTCAAAAGATTCACTATCAAGATCTGTATCTAGATAAAAACACGAACTTCAAACAGCATATATATGACCATGTCTAATATTTGAGTTCTCCAACATAATTTGAAGTGTTACCAACTGGAATGTAAATGTATATGTGCAGGTATTTCTAAAGGTTTTATTGATAAATTTCATTGTGTCTTTCATCTCTTATAGGATAAAATAATTGCTATATAGTTTTCCTTCTTGGAAATGAACTGGCTGCTCTGGTACATTTTACCTGGAGATAATGCTGAAAAAGCATATGGGAAAAATATTTGGTTGCATTTTCTTACCACATTTTTACTTCATTTTACTGTTGTAACTACTGAGTGGCATGTAACATAGTACTAAGTGTGAAAACTGGTACAGGTACCCAAGCAAGCTAAAATTATTTTTAAATAACTTTCACTTTTTATTCCTCTCAAACTCGCTCCCATTTTTTTGTACTTCATAGACATATAAAATTGTGAGGGATCTCATAGATCATCTCGTCACTCCCTGCCAATACTGAATCATTCCCAACAGCTGTGTATCCAGCCAGCATTTGCTTGCACATTTTCAGAGACATGAAATTCTTGGTTCAGACAGCTGCTCTGGACTTAGAACATTTTTTTCACCCTAGAAACTACACGAATGACTTTAATCCCTTTTTTCATTCTTACTGTATACTTATCTACAGATTAACAATCTCCAATTCTCCTTCACCTTACCTAATGCTATTGAACATGTCTTTTTTTCATCAGCAGTCTTTGTCTTTCAATTCAAGGCTGAGCTACCAAAAGCAGTCATTTGGACTATAGATGAGGATTATACAATGAATCAAAGCCACCTGTTTTAACAGACATCAGTGTTTTAATGTCATATGAGGTGGGTCCCTTGACTCTCTTGGTTACTTGTAATCACAAATGTGAACCAGGATCATAGGCACTTGCACACAAGACAAAGTAAATTTCACTCCATCAAAACTTAGTTTGTAAATAATCATATAATTACAAAAAAAAAACTATTTTGTCTCACATTGTTCTTGCTGCTGCTAAGCGACTTTAATTTCATGAGAGAACATTTTAAAACAATTAGTAGGTCCTTGGATTACGTCGGAGATCCGTTCCCACGTTGCAACATAACGCAATTATCACCATAAGTCGAACCCACCTATATAAGCACCTACGTCACTCACATGGAACACATACACAGCAGTAATGAAGTGAAACAGTCAAAAATTTTAAAATAAAGATAACAATTCCTGACCTTTACTTCTGGTAAATAAATAAAATAAAGCACATAGGTACATGCGTCAAAATGGCAGCAGAACTTTTTTAACCAATAAATGGGAGATGGCGATATAACCACGAAACGATGTAGATTGAGTCCAACTTAACCTGAGGGCTGCCTCTAGTGCTGTTTGGGAACTTCAAACCAAAGGTCCAGTATGTACCATAATATGCAATAATATTTTAACATTCTTATGTTTAAACTGGGGATTTCTTTTCCAACACAATAAATGCCAAGTTAAAGCAAGAAAAGTTATTTTTTTAAAGTACAGGCTGCAATCACAGATTGACCTGCCTAATGATTTTGGTATTATAACCAAATACAAGTTAAAATCACAATAGTCTGTTAAACTTTAGGAAGTCACTCAAATTGACATGACCAAATCTTATATTAGCTTTCTTCCAATATAAACCTATAGCTTATTAATGCTTGGGAAAATACTGGCCTGGATTAATCAAACCCTTTATAATCAATTGAATTGCCAAGTGCACACATGTATTAATTTCCATTGCAAGTGCTCATTAACCCTTTCCATTTAAAATGCTTGATTAAACTACTTTAGCACCAAGGATATGGAAAAACATCAATTATTCCAAGACAGAAAGAAACATGTGGTGGCACTATGCAAGATACTTGTCCAGTTAAATTTAATATGTAAATCAGTCTTAGAAAGTATCTTATCTGCCCAACCTGTGGTTCAGTCCTCCAAACAGTGGGAAAGGAGAGGCTAAGAGACTGTCCAGAGTCCTGCTCATGCCAAGTTAACTGCTGAAATTGAATTAACACACTTCATAATCAACCATTATCCATAAACTACACAAGCAAACATTTGAGATGGTTTTTATTAAATATACAAAAGCAAAATCACGCAAGCGCTAGGAAGGTAGGACTACTTAACGGCATTTTCTTTGGACGGTGGTACAGCACCTTTAAGGTTAACTTGGATTTTAACAAACCTTGAGCACAAATAGCTAACTACATTCTATATTTCTCTTAGCAGTTTTAGGGTCTACCCAGTCATCAATCTATTATTTAAGAACTTTTCTCCAGAATATATAAACATGGTAATCAAAGAAATGCAATGTTTAGCAAACCATTGAACAATAAAATTATTCATTCTTTTCCATATCAAGATATTCACTAGATCTTACTTCCACAATGTGCATTAACAAAAATCAATGTAGGATAAGACATTTACTCTCATCCCATATATTGAATAGATTGATCACCTTCTATTGTTAATACTGTTTTCCAAAACCAAACAAAAGCAAAGCTGTACACCCCTTTTAAACGTTTAGCTTTAGCTTTAACAAAATTGTTCTACAAAAGCTACTCAACATATCCAGAAATAGAACTACATTTTGCTCATGATGTCACCCTGGAGTATTAGTTCAGAACCAACTTCTGAGCTATATATTAGTCCCAGAGACTCATCAGCTACTGGTCTTACAGATCTGTGATTGGTTTGAGCAAAATAAATAAAGTTATTTGAGACTAACATTAGTTTCCAAAAAGAATGACTATGTGGGATGAGGGCATGCGAAGGGGTAGGAGATGCTGGGGGAAAGTCAATGGGGGGAAAAAGGAGATATATGTACTTCTATGTGTAATACTTTAAACAATAAAAAAAAAAATGAATGAGTACTTTCATGAACATTACTAGACACAGTGTCAATATTTTTTCTTTCCCCTTTGAAAAGAATGTTTTAAAATATTTTTGCTATCAGAATTTCTGATTTACAATTATACTATACAACTGATTAGGAGATGTACATTGGTGGGTATTACATTATGTAAATAAGTAAACTTAGATGTGTACTTTTAAAATACAGATCAGTACTTGAGTGGGCTCCAGGTATCACAGTGCTATGCTGTAGCCACACTTAAGATGAAAGCCCAGCCCCCTGCCGGATATAACAGAAGTCGTTATTTGCACCATGGCAATACCATCCCATGAACAGTGATCATAAACATATAACCTAAGGAAAAGAAAAGTGCTGTACCAAAAAAAATATTTTGCTAGCTTCAAAGTATATTTTCAGCTCTATTTCCTTTCAAATACAAAAATATCTGACGTTTTCAAAAAAAAAAAAAAGATGTTGATTTGAGGAGCAGATAAGAGCTATTACGAGAGCTATTAGCATGAGTGGTCAAGATGGAAAATACTGAACCTTTAAGAGACAGAGACACTGCAATCTGCATGTGCTTTGTGAGACCATTATCAGGGTATCTGAACCTGACTGGTAGGTCTGACAGTTCATAGTTCAATCCATGGTGTTTCTCAAATGCTTTAGTCATACCTGGAACATGTCAAAAGTGGACAGTCTGGTCATTTCCTATCATGCCTCCTTCTCATGGAAAATAATTTAAATTTCAAACAAAGGCGCAGTTTGTATATAGCCTGGGAGCCAACTCCTCTACTCTGGGATGGGTGTGGGGAAATCAGTTGAGCACTGTAAAAATCAAGAACCGCCACTAATAAAATTCAGATACCGGTATTCAAATTAAGTTTCTACCTCTATGCTTCCTTAGTTCTAAAGGGACATAATGCCATGATATAGTAGTATGACTCAAGAGAATAGCTCCTAACAGACTACATTTGTTATATAAGATTTCTAACTCAGGAGAATCTATAGTACCTATAGCAACAAAGAGCTGTTAGTGTAAACATAAGTCACAATGTGTTACAGTAATGGTTTCTGAGTTGGAAACCTCTTAAAGCATTTAATATCAAAAGTAATTGTAACAAGGAGGGGGGGAAAAAAGAGTATTTAAACAGCTGTCTGCAGAGGAATTACTGAAAGGATTATAACCCAAGCTAACTATGCCTCAACTGGACCTACAAGAATAATATAAGTAAGGCTAACTGGGTCTGGCCAATGTGGGTCAGTGGTTAGAGCACCAGCCTGCACACTGAAGGGTCTCGGGTTCAATTACCAGTCAAGGGTTCATGTGGGAGGCGACCAATCAATGTTTCTCACAATGCTTCTCTCTTTTCATCTTCTCTCCCTCCCTTCCACTCTATCTAAAAATCATTGGAAAAGATATTCTAGAGTGAGGATTAACACAAAAACAAAACAGATTAATGGGGAAGGGGGGAGACACAAATTAAATTCAGAGCAAGGAAAGAGTTAATGGGATACTGTCAAATGTAATTTTGTTTCTGCTTTCTCCTGTAAGGGATTAAATTGCATAGAACACTAGAAAAGGTAAAGATTAGTAGATATAGAAAGATCTTCCAAGTACTCAATGTTCTAATCACTTACATGCTTAGGAACTAATAACCTACCACCAAGATGGGTGACTTTCACGGTCAATCATCTTTGAAGAATCAGCTAAGGACTACATATCTATTGCAGTAGTAGATATGTTGTCTTTTTTTTTTTTTTTTAATACATTTTACTGATTTCAGAGAGGAAGGGAGAGGAAGAGATAGAAACATCAGTGATGACAGAATCATTGATTGGCTGCCTCTTGCACGTCCCCCACTGGGAATCGAGCCCGTAACCCAGGCATGTGCCCTTCACGAGAATCGAACCCAGAACCCTTCTGTCTGCAAGCCAACGCTCTATCCACTGAACCAAACCAGCTGAGGCCATATCTAGTTGTTAAAGCATGAGAAGGTGGCTTCCCCAAATTGCAACCAATAAACCCTGCATTAGCCCTGAATATCCCAGAATACATTATTAAAAGGATATTTGTTAAAACTTATAAAGATTTTAAAAATACTTGGACAGGGTTATTTATGAAAGCCGAAGAAACCTATCTGGTGGATAGACTTGGTCGGGTCTCATGATCACAAGAAAGAAAAATCAGGAGTGGGTACTGATATAATCAGGTGGATATAAAACTGAATAATGACTCTTCATATTCAG